ACCTGGCACTCGTTGCTGCCAACTCTGACGGGCAGAAGGGTTACATAAGCATATGGGTTTCAGAGCACCAAGGCTATGTCTTTACTGTAGAGTTAACTCCCATAAGTCATTTCCTCTTGAGTTAGCCTAGCTCGAATGAGAGCAGTCTCACTGCCCAATACCATGGGAGCTGTACAGAATGGTTGCATTAGCTGCTGCTGCATTGTGTGTAAACCCTGGTCTACACTACAAACTACGTTGCTCAGGAGGGTGCAAAACACCCCGACTGACACAGTTGTACTGACCGAACTCCCAATGTGAAGAGCACTATGTGTGTGGGAGGGCTTCTCCTGTTGACACATCTACCACCTCTTGGGGAGGTGGAGTACCTGTGCCAATGGGCGAAGCTCTCCCGTCGGCATAGGCAGCAACTTCACTAAGCGTTAGGCACAGCTGCCCTGGTGCAGCTGAGGCGCTGCAGTGCTGTAAGTGTAGTCCAGGCCTAACTCAGACTGTAGCCTATGGTCCTGGACAGGCCAGCCAAGTCCAGTTACCAGCACCACTATGCTCAAGTTACGTGTTTTGCGTGTGTGTGACCAGGACCCAAGCTAGGGGCAACACTTGACTTGCAGCAAAAAGAAGAGAAGCAAACAGAGGGAGTTTGCCTAGGGGGAAAGCCCACACAGGGTTTTGCCTTTCAGGCTTCTGCAAGCAGTAGTTACAGCATCTGAAGAGACTCTTGATACATTACAAGGTTGGAAATATGGATAGTGAAGTATGAATTGCTGTGACCTGCATGGGATGTGCCGTCTTTGTCCTGGAGCTTAGAAGTGACTTTGGTTGTACAAAGTGCAAGCTGGCCCCCATACTGGAAGAAAAGGTTAAAGGACTAGAGACCCAAGTAATGACCCTGCGTGCACTGCATCAGAAAAAATGTAGACTTCCTGGATAGAAGTCAGGATTTGGTACTGTGGGCACAGCATGCCGAAGAATTGGAGAGGGCAGTGCAGGGGGGGACTGAAGAACAAAGAAGAAAGTTTGCAGTATATGACCTCCAGAAGAAGGAGGAGGAGAACCAATATACCCCAGCACAGATAGAGGTAAACAACTGCTTTTAGGCTCTCTGCACAGGTACTACTGATGAGAATGCCTTGGAAGAGTCATCTGAGGAAGGAGTCAGAAGGAGACCCCGTTGACCTGAAGCCATGGGATGCATTGTCCTAGGCATAGGAGTTCCACAACCACCACTCCCAAAAGGAGGAGAAGAGTGGTCGGGGATTCCCTCCTAAGGGAGACATTCATCTAGCTGCCACCCAGACAGGGAATTCCAAAAAGTGTGTGCTGCTTGCCTGGAGTTAAAATTCAGGATGTGACAGAGTCTTTCAAGACTCATCAAGCCCTTGGACCACTGCTCCTTCCTACTTATCCACATGGGCACCAGCAATACTGCCAAGAATGACCTTGAGCGGATCACTGCAGATTACATGGCTTTAGGGTTGCCAGGCATCCGTTTTACGACTGGACGCCTGATTGAAAAGGGACCCTGGCTGCTCCGGACAGTACCGCTGACTGGGCTACTAAAAGTCCGGTCAGTGGTGTAGTGGGGCTAAGGTAGGCTCCCTGCCTGCCCTGGCTCCATGTGGGTCCCAGAAGTGGCCGGCGTATCCCTGCGGCCCCTAGGTGCAGGGGCCATCAGGGAAGCTTCACACACTGCCCCCATACTGAGTGCCGGCTCCACAGCTGCCAATGGAAGCTGCAGGGGGGCACCTATGGGCGCAGGCACTGTGCAGAGCAACCTGGCCGCCCCTGTGCCTAGGAGCTGGACATGCTGGATGCTTCTGGGACCCACACAGCGCCAGGGCAGGCAGGGAGCCTGCCTTAGCCTCATTGTGCTGTGGACTGGGAGCCACCTGAGGTAAGAGCTGGCTGGAGCCCACACCCTGAACCTCCTCCCACACCCCAACCCCCTGCCCCAGGTCAGAACCCCCTCCTGGAGCCCACACCCCTCACTCCCTCCTCCACCCCAACTCCCTGCCCCAGCCCTGAGCCCCCTCCTGCACCCCAAACCCCTCATCCCCAGCTCCACCCCACAGCCTGCACCCCCAGCTGGAGCCCTCATCCTCTCCCCCCCAATCCCTCCCACCCCAGTGAAAGTGGGTGAGGGAGAGTGAGTGGGGATGGGGCCACAGAGAAGGGGCAGGGTGGGGCCTCAGGAAGGGGCAGGGCAAGAGTGTTTAGTTTTGTGCGATTAGAAAGTTGGCAACCCTATATGGCTGTGGGAAGAAGGATAAAAGAGAGCGTGGGGTTCAAGTGGTGTTCTCGTCCATCCTCCCTTTTGAAGGAAAAGGCCTGGATAAGGAGTGTCAAACAGGGCCGGCTCCAGGCACCAGGCAACCAAGCTGGTGCTTGGGGCGGCACCTGGAGGGGGGCGGTGCGGCGCTCTGGCCGCCGGGGAGAGCGGGGCCACAGCAGGGCTCGCCGCCCTCGCCCCGGCGCTCTGGCCGCCCTCCCCCCGGCCGCCGGGGGGGGAAAAAAGCCCGAGCCGGCCCTGGTGTCAAATCGGGGAAGTAAATACATGGCTACGCAGGTGGTGACAATGAGAGGACTAGAGAGCAAACTGATCAAATCTGCAGGCGACACAAAGCTGGGGGCGGGTGGGTTGCCAACACTTTGGAGGATAGAGCTAAGATTCAGAGGGATCCTGATAAATTGGAGAACTGGGCTTTAGATAACAAAAGTGAAATTCAACAAAGACAAATGTAAGGTGCTACACTTAGGGAAGAAAAACCAAATGCACAAATACAGAATGGGGGAAACTGGCTTGGCAGCAGCACTGCTGAGAAGGATCTGGGAGTTGTGGTGGCTCACAACCTCAACGTGAGTCAGCAAATGCAATTTTGGGTTCCATTAACAGAGGCATAGCATGCAAGTCACAGGAGGTGATAGTACCACTCTACTCCACGCTGATTAGGCCTCAGCTGGAGCATTGTGTCCAGTTTTGGTCATTAGTGTATAAAAAGGATGAAGAGAAACTGGAAAGAATCCAGAGGCGAGCGACAAAGATGATCAAAGGGATCATCCATATGAGCAGGGAATGCAGCCATATGAGCAAAGGCTGAAGGCTAGTTTGGAAAAGAGGAGATTAAAGGGGGGGATATTATAATGGTCTTCAAATACCTGAAAGGCTGCTATAAAAAGATGGAGAAAAGTTGTTCTTTCTTGCCACAGAGGGCAGGACAAGAGGCAATGGGTTCAAACTACAGCACAGCAGATTGAATCTGAGGAAAAACTTCCTAATTGTAAGCAGGAGCATTGCCAGGGTTTTTGGCGCCCTAGGCGGGGGTCCTTCCGCGCCCCCGGGGGTCGGCGGCCATTTGGCGGGGGGGGGGGGGGTCCTTCCGAGATCCAAGTCTTCGGGGCACTTCGGCGGTGGGTCCTGGAGCGAGTGAAGGACCCGCCGCAGAATTGCTGCCGAAGACCCAGAGCGTGGAAGGACCCCCTGTCGCCGAATTGCCGCCAAGGGCGGCAAAATGCTGCCCCCCCAAATCCTGGCACCCTAGGCAACCGCCTAGGTCGCCTAAATGGAAGCACCGGCCCTGATTGTAAGAGCAGTCGGACAATGGAACAGACATCTAGGGAGGTCGTGGAATCTCCTTCCCTGGAGGTTTTCAAAAAGAGGCTGGAGAGCATCTGTCTTGGATGGTTTAGACACAACAAATCCTGCAGCTTTGCAGGAAGTTAGACTAGAATTCAGCATTTCTCAAATGCGGCCACCAGTGGCTTTTTCTTGCGGCCACTTTTCACAGCAGCAGACTTACTATCTAGCAAGTTAAAAAAGAAGCAACAACAAAAAGACAAGAACATGCAAAGCACCTTATTTGTGTTTCTATTCTGTTTAGGTCCAGTAAAGAATAGAGACAAATGTACATTATTTTTATTACTGAGTCTGAAAAAAGTCCTATATAAATAAATGACAATGATTTGGACATGTATATGCACATTTTTGTTTTTTCTAAAGTTAATTAAGTATTTTCGGAAAAATTGTCAGCATGGCCCCCAGCAAGAGTTGGTGGCCACAGGGCCGGTGCTACCATTTAGGCAAACTAGGCGGTTGCCTAGGGTGCCAAGATTTGGGGGTGCCAAAAAGCAGTCCCCCCAATTTTTTTTACAGCATTCCTACGCCCCCTCCCCAAGCACGCAATCGGTGCTCCACTTCTCCCGCCCCCCAGGCTTGCAGCGCCAATCAGCTGTTTGGTGCCGCAAGCCTGGGAGGGAAGGAGAATTAGAGCGGGGGGGTGGCGTGCTCGGGGAGGAGGCGGAGCAGAGGTGAGCTGGAGTGGGGAGCTGCCACACGACTGCGGGGGGCGCAAGGTGGAAGTTTCGCCTAGGGCGCAAAACTTCCTTGCACCGACCCTGGGTGGCCACACTCTGAGGCCACTAAAAAATTTGTTGAGAACCCCTGGTCTAGATGACCCTTGCAATCCATTTTAATCCTTTTCAGGGTTATAATTCTATGGTTCTACATTTCCGGTGAAGAAAAGCTCTTAGAAAACTTGTCTGTTACATAGTAAGTTACAGCCTTTACCATAGTGGTGCAAATACCTCCCTGTAATGACTCTGGTCTCATCTTCCTTCAAATTAATGCTTCCCTATATCCAACTTTAATTATATCCATTAGTCTGTGCGGGGTTGGACCCAGGGCAGGCTCCTAAACCTTATTCCACAGTAACTTTCTTAGTGACTCTGTGGGGCCAGGACATTCAGTTTAGGCCTCACAATGGAAAAACTGAATGGGGAAGAAGCAGGCAGGCGCAAGCAGATTGTAGAATAGGAAGTCAAGGTCTGAAGGGTGGGGAGGTGAGAGATGTCTGGAGACAGCAGCAGACAAAGTGCAGCAATAAGCCGAGCCCTGGCAGACCCCACCAGCTGTTTGTGCTCCAAGACAGGAGAGGGCAGGGAAGCGGGACTTTGTCCACCGCTGCACCCCCTCCCTGGCTCCAGCACCTCCCCAGCCCCCTCACCTCCTCCAGGCTGCAGACGGTGCCTCGGCACTTGCCCATGTGGCTGGTGAAGGAGGAGGTGGTTGGGGAGCTCAGATCCTCCAGAGTCTGGGAGATGAAGTCTTGGACGGAGATGAGCTCCGGCATCCTGAAGGGCATATGCAGGGTGCTGCGGGTGGGTGATAAGGTCTGGCCAGCAGGAGCGGAACGTCCGGCTCCAGGAAGGGGAACTGCTGAGAGCACCGCAAGCCTGGGAGGAAGTGGCCAAGGCAGCTGCTTCATGCAGGGAGAGTGACAGACACACAAGAGCAGATATCCTGGCCCAGCCCCACCCAGGAGCTGCCCCCCTGCCCAGCCTAGCCTCACACCAAAGCTGCCACCCTGCCCTGACACACACCCACACACCCCTGGCTGCCCCCGCATCCCATCCCTTCCCAGACACATTCCCCACACACAGAGCTACCCGGACACCTCCCATCACACTCCTTCAGAGCTGCCCCCCGATTCTCCATCCCAGACACACATCCACCCCACACAGCAGTCCACCAGCCCCTCCATCCCATCCCCCCACCCCTCATCCCCTCACAGACGCAACCCCAGGCTGCCCTCCCATCCCATCAGACACACCCCACCTAGGGTTGCCAATTTTCTATTTGCAGAAAACTGAACACCCTTGCCCCACCCCTTCTCCGAGGCCCTGTCCCTTGCTCACTCCATCCCCCCTCCCTTCATTGCTTGCTCTCCCCCACCCTCGGTCACTCACTCATTTTCACTGGGCTGGGGTAGGGGGTTGGGGTATGAGAGGGGGTGAGGGCTCTGGGCTGGGGATGTGGGCTCTGGGGTGGGACCAGAAATAAGGGGTTCAGAGTGCAGGAAGGGGATCCAGACTGGGCAGGGGGTTGGGGTGCGGGGGAGGGGTGAGTGCTCTGGCTGGGGGTGTGGGCTCTGAGGTGGGGGTTTGGGGTGCAGGAGGGGGCACCAGGCTGGGGCCATGGGGTTCAGAGTGCAGGAAGGGGCTCAGGAGGTTGGGGAACTCAAGAGGGTTTGGGGTGCAGATCCAGGCAGCGCTTACCAGGGTAGCTCCTGGAAAGCAGTGACATCTCCCTCTGGCTCCTAGGTGGAAGTGTAACCACATGGCTCAGCATGCTGCCTGTGCCTACAGGTGCCGCCCCCTCAGCTCCCATTGGCCGCGGTTCCTGGCCAATGGGAGCTGCTGAGCTGTCGCTGGGGGTGGGGGTAGCATGCAGAGCCCCTGTGGCCGTCCCTCTACCTAGGAGCCAGAAGGAGATGCCGGCAGCTTTCTGGGAGCTGTGTGGAGCCAGGTAGGGAGCCTGCCTGTGCCACCAACCGGACTTTTAATGGCCCAGTCAGCAGTGCTGACTGGAGCTGCCAGGGTCCCTTTTTGACCAGGCATTCCTGTCAAAAACCAGACACCTGGCAACTCTAAATGTGCCCAGACCTGCCCTCTATCCCATCCAAGACACAGACACCCTGACCTGCCCACTATCCCAAACATCCCCACACACCGTGGCACTGCCCCCTCCAACCCAGACACCCTGTGATGGGTTGGACTAGGCCCTGAGGGGCCCCCTTTTGGAGGCTTGATGGCCCTGCCACACCCTGCCCCAGAAAAGGGCAGTAGAGAGGTCCTCCAAGCTGCCTAGACTGGCTGTGTGGGAAGCAGCCAATCAGGGCCCAGCAGGCTAGTATAAGTAGAGCTGCAGTGCCAGAGCAAGTTCAGTTCTTTGCTAGCAATAGAGGAGTATGGATGGCTCTGGGCTGGCTGCTGGGACTCCACCCAGCCAAAGCCCTGAGGTAAGGGTGAAGACTGTGCTGGAGCCATGGGGAAGTGGCCCAGGGAATTGTAGCAGCAATGCAGTGTATTTAAAGGGACATGGTGTATGGCTGGGCTTGGACCTGGAGTAGAAGGCAGGCCTGAGTCCCTGCCACCAGCCACTGGGAAAGTGGCCTGGACTTTGATACACCCTAGAAGGGGAACTGAACTCTTTTAGTGGTCCAGCTGAAGAGCTGGGGCTAGAAAGGCCCAGAGAGGTGAAGAGTCTCCAAGGAGAGAGCCCTGGGGGACGTGGCCCCATACCAGGACTGGGACTGCTTAAAGAGCAGGGACAACTTGAGAGAGCCCAGAAGGGGCTGAGAGACACTTTGGATCAGGGTACTGTGATAGGCCCTCCTGGACTGATTGAAAAGTGAGCTCCAGGACAGGGCTGCAGATCGAAGGACCTTAGAATGTGCTGAAATAGGCCCCCTGTTGGACTTCTACCCTGGATGTGGTTTGCTTTGCTTTTATCACACAGAGTGTGTGAACCTCGGCTGGAGGGCTGAGTTACTGAAGACCCAACACAAACAGGTAGAGAGAGAGGGCAGGCACATGCACTCAGCCAGGGGGTGCTCGTGAGAGATGAGTGTGACTCTGTTACACCCTTGCACCCCCATGGTGGTGAGTGACCTCCCCCTTTGGGGAGGCTAGTCTGCTGGCTCTCCCCTCGTCTTTCCCCACACACACAATGACTGGAGGAGCCCTGAGGCCACCAGCATGGAGCTGAGCCCATGCTGGGCTGGCTTCAGGATAGAGTACTTAGTCCTGCCATGAGTGCAGGGGACTGGACTAGATGACCTCTCGAGATCCCTTCCAGTCCTATGATTTTAGGGGGGGGAGGAGGGCAGGGCCTCTTGGGGGAACATGGGTGGTGGGGCCACGGCCTGTGTCAGGGGAGGCTTAGCCTGCCCTGGCCTTCAATACCTGCTGCCCATACCCACCCCCCACAGAGCTGCCCTACCATCACAGACACTGTCCCCCCCAGCTGCCCCACCATTGTAGACACACCCCCACCCACCCCAGACACCACCCATGCCCCTTGGCGCTGCCCCCCGACTCCAGACACACACATACTACCCCTTCCCAGAGCTGCTCCCCTGTATAACATAAACTCCTGGATATTCTCCACTCTACAGCTCCAGGGAGCTTGGTCACGCTAATCAGGGATGGGCTGCTGAAACCCACCAAATCAATCTGGCACACACCAGCTTCGGTCTGTGATACCTCCAAGAAATCAAACAGAAGACAACAGGTCTCCGCAAGGGAGCAGAATATTTTTACCAGCATCCTACTCCTCACACTGATACTCAATAAGAAAACATCCGAGTGCTATCAAGAAAGTGCAAAGGCAGTTCTAATAGCAGAATCTAAAAGGGAAGAATGGATTAACGAAGCTACTTGGGCATCAATGGAAAAGAGAAGTGTAAAGCAGTGATACTCAGACCTCAGTGGTTCAGGAGCCAAATTAGCGATCAACATTACCCAAAAGAGCCACGGTAGTGTTGAAATGCTCATGGTGATCCTGGGAGATCCAAGTGTGCTTTTGGCCGTTTAAAGGCCCGCTGGCACTGCCTATATGGGAGGCTGGACCTGGCTGATGACAATATTCCTATGCTTATAGCTGGGTGCTGTACGTTCCATAATATTTGGGAAGGGTGAAAGCTTAACTTAGGGCTGGACCACTGAGGCTCAGCGCCTGGAGGCTGAATTTGAACAGCCAGAGACCAGGGCTATTGGAGGGGCACAGCATGGGGCCATAAGGATCAGGGATGCCTTGAGGCAGCAATTTGAAGCTGAAATCCACTAATATTTGCTGTGCTCGGGAGTGCAATGCTTGTAATGCTAGGAGGTGACTGTGATTGGTGCAGACAATGCACTATGAAGGTTTAAGAAAATTGCCTGTTGCTTTGCAGGGCTCTGTTTACTTTCAATTACTGGAATAAAGATTGCTTTAAAACCAAAACAATTCTTTTATTAAAAAACAACAACTGGAGGAGAGAGACAAACAAAAAAACACATCAGCACTGTGGAGGATGGGGGAATGGAGGATCCCAGGAGGAGGTGGGGTCCCGGGATGGTTAAAGATTTGTGTATGTCCAGGTATCATATGCAACCTTGTCCTTGGAGTACAGTGCAGCGGGTACTGTACTTCAGCAGGGCTAAACTGCAGAGGGATGGGTACTGAGTGCAGTGGGAACTGGGAGTCCACAGGGCTGGACTGAGACGGGGCAGGAGTGGAGTGCCACGGGTATACACTGGAGCCAGGAGGTTGATAACAGTGTGTTGGCGGTGTCTAGGTGGCAAATGGGAAAGGGTTTTGTAACAGCGGCTGAGGGAAGGGCAGGCACGGAGCTGCTCAGTTTGTAGTGCTAGTAGTGCCTGGGTCGTGTCCGCTTGACACGCCATAACTTTTAAGAGCTGCTCCGTGGCTTTGTTCTGGCATGCTGTGTTCTCCTTTCGGTCCCTCTTCTCGCTGTCCTGCCACTCCTTCAATTCTTGCTTTTTGGCCACAAAGTACATCATGATCTCACACAGACAGTCTTCTTTAGTTCTTTGTGGCTGCTTTCTAATTCTGTGCAGCCGGTCAGCCGGCGATAACAAAGAGAGAGGCTGGGCTCCCAAGGTCATATCTATGAAGCCAAAATGCAACATTTTACAGAAGCAGTATTGTTTGCAACACACAGATACTGATTCAGTGATTTAAAACGCAGACAGTACTCACACACCTGTCACTAGCTGGCTGACCCCAGGCAAGCACACATGAGCCACAAGACCCCCAAAATGGTGAGTAACTGCAGGGGCAGGGGAAATCAGTGTGCCAGGACCGTACTGGGCACGTGGTTCTTGGGGACAGCCAGCACTGTAAGGGGGGGGCATTACTGTCCCCACATTTTCCCCAGGCTGTGTTCATTATGGAAGATATCTCGCTGCTGAGGGTGAGCAGTGAATCAAGGGAGGGTCTTCTCCAAGCCTGCAGCTTCCGCCCTGGCCCTTATGCAGCTTGGCTATGTGCAGCAATGGTTTCCCCATCCTCCAGTGATGGCAGAGTGGCATGGGAAAGTTACCCTTAATGGGGCAAGAAACAAAGCACCTCTGCCAAAGAACCTGCGGCAGCAGATTGCCCAGTATCTCCATGAGAGTTTTGTGGAGCTCTCTGAGGGAGATTCCCGTAAAGTGAGGGAGTTAATCAACACCCTGTTCCGCTGCTCAGACTAGGCATGTGGTGGTACGTGCATCATACAGACACAAGCCTGCTTCAACTCGCTTCAGCGATTCCCAAAATCAAAACCACTTACCAGGGGCCTCCTCTCCTGTTTGCGCT